AAGACATATGTAGACCAAAATGAAAGGGGTGGAAAAAGATACTTTATGCAAACAGAAACCCAAAACAACAGGAGTAGCTATGCTTATATCAGAAAAAAATAAATCTCAAAACAAAAATCTATAAAAAGAGATAAGGTTATCATATAATGATAAAGCAGTGCATCCAGCAAGAGGATATACAATTGTAAATATATATGCAACTAACACTGGAGTACCCAGATACATAAAGCCAATATTATTGGAGCTAAAGAGAGAGAGAGATCCCAATACAATAATAGCTGGAGACTTCAGTATCCCACTTTCAGCATTGGACAGATTGTCAGACAGAAAATCAACAAAGAAGCATAAGACTTAATCTGTAGTATAGACCAAATGAACCTAATAGATATGTGCAGAACATTTCATCCAGTGGTCGCAGAAGACATTCTTCTCCTCAGCACACAGATCATTGTCAAGGATAGACCATATGTTTGGTCACAAAACAGTTCTTCAAAAATTCCAAAAATTTGGAAAACCAAAACCAAGTATCTTCTCTGACTACAAAGGAATAAAACTAGAAATCAATTTGGAAACTATACAAACACACGGAAATTAAACAGTATGCTCTTGAATGACCATTGGGTCAATAAAGAAATAAAGAGGGAAATTTAAAAATTACTTGAAATAAATGAAGATGGAAGCATAACATATCAAAACCTATGGGGTACAGCAAAAACATTTACTAAGAGGAAAGTTTATAGCAATAAGTGTCTACATTAAAAAAGCAGAAGAACTTCAAATAAAAAAACCTAATGATGCATCTTAAAGAACCAGAAAGCAAATACAAAATTCAAATCAAAATGGATTAAAGACATCTATGATCTCAAATAATAAGGTCATATAAGAAAAAAGAAACTATAAGAAACGAGAACATATACAGGCAACCAAAGTTGGAAAGCTGGAATCACAAAGTTAAAAAGATTCTGCACATTAAAGAAAACAATCAGCCACGTGAAAAGACAACCCACAGAATAGGAGAAAATTTTGCAAACTATCCATCTAATAATGGATTAATACCCATGATATATAAGGAGCTTAAACAACTCTGCAGGGAAAAAAATCTAATAATTTGATTTAAAAACAAGCAAAAGATCTGGATAGTCATTTATGAAAGGAGAATATACAAATGGCAAACAGGTGTATGAAAGTGGGCTCAATATCATTGATCATCAGAGAAATGTAAATCACAACTCTGAGATATCATCTCCCCTCAGTTAAAGTGGCTTTTACCCAAAAGACAGCCAATAACAAATGCTCATACACTGTTGGTTGGGATGTAAGTTAGTAAAGCCACTGTGGAGAACAGTATGGAGGAGTTTCAAAAAATTAAAAATGGAACTACCATATCATTCAGCAATCCCACTGCTAAGTATATAGGGACCAGATGGGCAGTCGTTGGATCATAGGGGTGGTTTCCCCCATGCTGTTCTTGTAATAGTGAGGGACTTCTCATGAGATCTGATGGTTTTAAAAGTGGCAGATTCCCCTGCTTGCTCTCTCCTGGTTCCATGTAAAGTAGGTCCTCACTTCCCTTTCTCCTCCCACCATGATTGTTAGTTTTCTGAGGCCTCCCCAGCCATCTGGAATTGTGAGTCAACTAAACCTTTTTTCTTCATAAATTACCCAGTCTCTAGTAGTTCATTATCACAGTGTGATATCAGACTAATACAAGCTTATTGCACACTGTAGGCCTGTATCAAAATACCTCAGGTACCCCATAAATATATACACCTCTTCTGTACCCATAAAAAGTTTTTAAATAAACAAAATGTTTAGAGAATATTATGAATAACTCTACCAATAAATTTTTCAACTAAAATGAAGTTGATATTTTTAAAAGCTTTAAAACGTATCATTCAGTAATTTCAATTGTAGGAATTTATGCTAAATGCATAAATTAAAAATATTTGTTGAATAATGCTAAATGCACAAAAATTCAACAAATTTTAAAATATTTGTTGAACAATTTTTCTCCTGAATTTTTTCTGTATTTTTTTAATTTGCTGGAATGAAATATGTCAGTGCCATATTTTGACTGTCATATGCCAAATAACTGGTTTTATCATTAAAACATTAAATTATTCTTTTTCTCTAAATAGAAAATATATACCAATGGTTTGACGCCAGTTGGCTTTGTTTAATAAATTTAAAACCACGTGTTTTAGGAAGAATGAATAGTGTTTAAGTATCTTTGTGTAAGTCATGCTTCCTCTGGTAGACATATTTTGAGGCCACCATTATACCATCTGTTTCAACAAATACCCAAATCAGTGTCTCTATTCCTGTCCTCTCACTGTCTTTCTCAGTTCTGGTGTCAGTAAGTAAAATGTGTGTTTGTTTTCCCTTATTGGCTTACAATCATCAAAACATCTTTTGGTGGGAAACCATTCATTATGCTTTTCTCTTTCAAAACTATGATTTATATCAAAACCATGATTCATTAGAGATTTCTAGCATTGGTTGAGATCATAACCCTCTTCTCCATTTATACATCTTCCAATTCCAGCCACACATGTAGTATGTCACATCTGAACTTCAGTAGCTAGCTTACCTGCCTCTAGTTGCCCAATGTCAGCTCATTCTAAAGTAGCTGTTGAAATACATTTGGGACACAACGTATATCCTTTCCTTTCCTTTCCAGAGATCCTGCAGTGAATGACTGAATTTCTTAAGAAATTCTCATAGTGAAAATTGAAAATCACTTGGTTAAAAATTTCAGGGTCTTCATCTTAAATCTAGCTAACCTCCTATATTAGTCTGATCTTGTGTTGCTGTAAAGAAATACCTGAGCCTGGATAATTTATTAAGAAATTGGCCCACGGCTCTGCAGGCTGTACAGGCATGGTACCAGCATCTGCTTGGCTTCCGGGGAGACTTCAGGGAACTTTTACTCATGGCACAAGGTGAAGCAGGCACAGGCACTTCACATGGCAAAAGCAGCAGCAAGAGGTGAGGGGAGGTGCCCCACACGTAAACAACCGGATCTCTTCAGTACTGATTATTGCAAGGACAGCACCAAGACATGAGGGATCCACGCCCATGACCCAAACACCTCCCACCAGGCCCCACCCTCAACACTGGGGAGTACACTTCAACATGAGATTTGGGCATGGGCAAATACTCTAACTATATCATCTCCTTTTGGTACATGAAGGCTAATGATCTTGAACCACCTGAGGATTACTTTCATGCCTTTGGCTCAAATGGACCTTTTAGGAATATTTTTAAAATGTTTGCCCTTTCTTTTGCACTTACATACATCGTATGTGACGCAGAAATAAAATATAAAGTTGATAACTTTACGTAGAGAAGGACAGCTAATTCAGTTAGTCATGTTACATGAGGCCTTTCTCTTTGTGGGGACCGTGTTTTGAGAAATCTTTGTGGGCCGCATAACCCACAGTTACAGAATTTTTGCCGACATTTCTTGATTCCTTTGTCTCCCTACACCTCACTGTTACCCTCAGTTATGGTCTTAACTGATATTCCTACTTCAAACCTTGTGCTGCTTCAATTTATTCTCCCAACAGAGGCCCAAGTAATCTTTGAAAAAAATAAATCAAAGTTCATCATCCTTCTTTAAACTCCTGATTGCCTTCTGATTATACTTCAAAAACAAGGAAAAAGTCTCAAATCCTGAGCATGGCTCTGGATCTTATTGTAGTCACTTCCCCCAGGCCCAGTGTAGTACCTAAGCTATAGGGCCTTCCTTCAGTTCTTCAGACACACCAAACACTTCCTCACCTCTGCATTCACTTGAGTCTGGAACGTCATTCCCTGACTGCCCTCCCGGATCCTTCTCACCTTCCACTTTGTCATGCCCCACCAATAAATTTTCACCTGGCTAATTTCATGGATTCCTATTCAACATTCAATTACTGCCTTAAATATCACCTCCCAGGAGGGTCTTATCTGAATCCTAAATCTAAACTTGCTTCTTCCTGTTATTACCTGATTTTTTAAGCACTTATTATAGTTTTTAATTATATCATTTATTTGTTTAATGACTTTCTCTTCTGCAAGACCAAAGGCTTCCTGACTGTAGACACCAGTGTCTTGCTTGCTCTCAGTCTAGCACATAGTAGGTGCCCAATAAATTATTATGAATGAATGAATGAGTGAAAGAAGGAAAAAGAAAGCCATAAATATAGTATATAAGTAGGAAACATTCATGGGAAGAAAGTGAAGTTTTACTGTTTATCAAAGGAAAGTATATTAAGCACCTATTTTAAATCTGTTAGTAAAATCATTTTAAGATATAGCTGAGATATGTGGATAAGGACACATTCATATAATATATAAGGAGAAGGACCTTTTCTGGGTTCATTTTCATTTATTAAATATTTGTTAAATGAGTGAGAGGGTGAATATAATCTAGAAAGCAACCTAGCTAACTGTATTTTAAAACATCAAATTACATTCATTGACTCAGTATTTTTTCATAAGAATTTGTCATAAGGAATTGTCCTAAATATGGAAAAGGTTATATGTTTAAAAATATTTCTCACAGTGTTATGTATAGGAGTAAAACATTGGAAATCACCTAAATGCTAATAAAAAATAGTTGAGTAAAGCATAATATATATCCAACAAATAGTATGAGGGTAACTCATAAACTAAAGGTTAGAATAAATAATGACTTTAAAAATGTTTATAGCATAAGTTTAAGATAAACACAAAGTTTTATAACTATGGTTATAAATTCTATACATGGGGGAAAAAAGACTAGAAAGAAATCTGTCATGCTGCTATAGCAATGGGATATAGCTATAGCAGATTTTTTTTTTCCAAATTTTCCTTAACGTGCACATTATTTTTACAGTGATTATAATTATATTAAATTGTGCATGTACAACATAGCTTGTATATTAAGATTCAATTTCAGCTTTAGTACATTTAAATGAGTCTTGGTCCTTATATTGTGTAATCATTGACATGCTGTGCCATTTTTTTTTTCTTAGGATGACAGAACCTTTCCGGAAGGTTCCCACGCTCATGGGTTAGATCACTCATCCTCTTGGCAGGATCACAGTCACTTCCTGTCTAGTCCAAGATTTTCATACTTGAACTGTAAGTAATGAAGTCCTGTACCCGTTTTTAAATTGGATTTCAGAAAATGCAACACATGGAAAAATTAGTTTAAGGCCAGCACATGATAGTAATATTCTTAAGTCTGAGAAAATCCTCATGAATCGTACAAATAATATTCAAGGATACTCCTAATAGTACACAGTTTACTAAAAATATGTAGAATCCCTTCTTTTTAGACTTAATACTTCTCAGAATAACTTCATCACCCAAAGTAAAAATCCTAATTAGGCAAATTTTTTATTCAGAGATTGCTGGTAACTATAGAGGAGTGAGCAAAGCAAGCTGTTTTATAATAAAATTCAAATTATCAAAAAAATTGAAGGGTTTTGCATCTAAATGTTGAGAAATATGTAATCTTGTACAAAGAATATCAGTACTATTACTGCTGGATTTCACTCTGTGACTACTCTATAAATCTTGATAAATGTCAGTGTCAACAACGTGTGAGTTCATTAGCACAGGATACCATCTCCCACCATCTATCTACCCCCCAAACCCCCGCCTCCCTTCCCTGCTATACATGGTCTTCAGGTTTCGGCTTATATGTAATTTCCTTAAAGAAGCTTCACAGTTTTAAGTGCAGTCTCTGTTATGAGCACCCACAGTGTGCTACAATTTTTCTTTATATCCTGAGGATAGGAGCCATGCCTGTTTTGTTCACCACTGTTTCCTTGGCACTCTATAATAGTAGTTGGCAAATAGTAAATACTCAACTAATATTCAATTAATATTAAATTCATTTGTATATAAGCTGTTTTTGTTAAGTCCACATTTATCTCAACTATTAGGATCCAAATGTTATTTAATAGATTCTTGTTTAGGTAATAATTTAGCTCTTCAGTTTATCATGGGCCTCTAAGGTTATACATTAAATTTGATAATTCTGTCATTTAAAATAGCTATATTGCTCTAAAATAAAATACCAAAATAAGCCACAAGGAAGTAGGTCAAATCCAAAGGTGATAATTCTCATTTTTGCTGGTTTATATTCATGAATTCATTGAATAAATATTTATCAGGTTTCTGATAAGTGGTTTGGTTTTCATTATTTCATGATTATTTTATTCCAAATGCTGAACATTTTTTCTTCCTGTCCTAATCATTTTCCCAAGTGATTTTGTATCTACATAAACCCTATGCTATTTTAATCTAAGAAGCACCCTTCAATATGGACCTCAAGTTGGTTATAGCACCTCAGAATTTGATATACACATAGGCCAAATATTTTTTTCTTTCATATTTAGCAATGGAAAACTTTCTCCAAGTCCTTTTAATATGAATGAGCATGGAGGAGGAAGGAGGGACTTAGCACCATGAAATATCAGAGTGTCCCAATTAGTAAGACATTCAAGAGCCTGGAGATGAACAGCACCATGATGTGAGCACAGAGGTCTTTGTACTGCTGCTGTTATGTTTGCATCATAACCTTCATAAACCTTGCTAGAAAGGTGTCTAGAGGGAATTGTTTAGAAGACATTAAATGGAAAACATCAAGATTTTTGGAATTTTGTTTATTACTATGATAGGCAGTGAAGAAACCTATATTTAGGTTTCTCTGCTAGCATTTCGTGACCAACTGTGGTCATTTCTCTAATTAAGATATATTGCTCACAAGCAACCATTGGTTTCTATAGCAATACACTCACTGAAAAGGAAATAAAGTTAAATAGGAAAAAATATCAATGAAAGCATAATTTGAAAAAGAAAACAATATTATAGTTTATATTCTAAAATCTAACTGAAAAATTTAGCCTAAAAAGTAAAACTCTATTGGTTTATTAATAAAGTAATTAATTAATTGATTAATCCATAGCCTTATGTTTTACTATTCTTCTCTTGTACAAGTTTGTTTTATGATTTTTTTCCTAGACCTATCCCCATATTTTCAAAAATACTTTTAAAAATTTAATCATAGCTACTTTATCATTAATTACTTTTAAGTAATTGAATTAGGATTATTTCTGGAAAACATATTTATTCTTATTTGCTTTTCTGATAAGCCTTATGTTTTCTGTTTTAAATAATGGGGCACATTCGCAGTGAGAAAAATTAGGAGTATCCTGAATACTTTATTTTTTGTAGCAAAAATTCAGCAATAAATTGTCCTGTAATTTTTCTTTAATCTCCCTTTAAACTTGAAAAATTAAAAAGAAGTGATGCCAGGACCACAAAGAGAAAAACATAACTTATAGCAAATGAGTAATACAGGGAACAGAGTATGTTTTCAAAACTATAATTAATACCCTTCCAGAGATAAAAGAAAATATGATATCCACTAAATTTAACAAGAGCAGGATTCTGTGAAAAAGGAACACAGACTAAGTGATATCAGAATTTTAAAATATGATGGCCATAAAGAAGAAAGAAAACCAGAAAGGTGGAAAACAATGTGAAATAGGAGAAGAAAGGAGAAGAAAAAGAAAAAGAATGGGACAATAGAGAGAAAAGATAAAATGTTTAGAAAGTCAATTCGGGGGGACCATACATGATTAATGTGAGTCTTCAGAGAACAGAGGATACAGAACAAGAGGCCAGGAGTAGCCAGGCCCACCCAACAAACACCCACTGCACAGCTGTCATCCTGAGATTTTCCTTCACTCTTTTCCTATATTGATGCCCATGTGCCCAGATCCTATACCTTCCTCTTTCTTGTTTCACTCCTTTCTTTTTTGTCAGGATAAGCAAGCCCCAAAATTGAGGCTTGGTCCAGGAGGATTCTTGGCTTCACCCAGGGAAGATTCAAGGGCAAGCTGGTGGTGGTAGCTGTAGTTTTTATTGAAGCAGCAGTATACAGCAGCAGCAGGGGTCCTGCTCCTTGCAGAACAGGGCTACCCCCTAGGCAGTGTGCTCAGAGCATCAGCTCAGAGGCAGTTCTGCACTCATAGTTATACCTACTTTTAATTATATGCAAATTAAAGGGCAACTTATGCAGAAATTTCTAGGATGAGTGTAGTAACTTCCAGGTTGTTGGGTTGTCACCAGGAAAATGAGCAGTAACTTCCTGGTGTTGCCATGGCAATGATAAATTGACATGGCACACTTGTGGGTGTGTTTTACAGGGAGGTGCTTCTGCTAGAGACCTGTTTTAGCTAGTCTTCAATTTGGGCAGGTGTCCAAGCCCTGCCTTTGGAGTCTAGTCCCATCTCCTACCTCAAGAGCACATCAAAGAAAAGGAGGTAACTATTTTTAGTCTTTGTATTTCTAAAAATAGATTTCTTCCCTTCACACTTGACTGAGACTTTAGCTGGCTATAAAATTCTAGGTTGAAAATGATTTTCTTTCTGAAGTCATTGAGCAATTATCCTCCAAAGTCCAATGTTGTTGAAAAATCATTTATTCCTTGATAGAAACTGTCACTCCTTTGAAGTCATCTTTTGCACCCCCTATTGCCCCTATGTCATCCTTTCTACAAATCGTTCCAGAAACTTCTAGGATCTTCTTTTTCAACCCCAGTGAGTTTCTGATGATGTGCCTCAGTGTAGGTCTTATTTTACTTATTCTTCTAACTACTTTTAATCTGGACATACATGTTCTTCAGTTCTGCCATACTGAAGGAAGAAAGGAAAGATTCTATCCAGAAAACTGGCAAGAAACAAACAAAAAACTGATAGATTATCTGATACAATTAAACACTTAAAAAAAAAAAAAGACTACTAGTGGACATATGGCAGATGTAACTGAGCACTTAGAAGCGAGATGGTCACAGAGAAAGACCAAATAAAAATAAATAAAATTAAAACAAGAGTCAATTAATAAACCCAGGAGAAACAAAATGAATAAGAAGAGAAATACTGTCATAGTATACTTACTAGGTTTTCACGAGCCATGTTTGGCCATAATAATGTAAACAGTCACATAACTAAAAGCTCACATGTAATTATATTGGGAATATGGGGTGAGAGAAGGGGTTGGGTGTGGATAATATCTAAATATATAAATCAGAAAATAGCAATATAGGCTTTTCCATGTTTTATGAAAATGAAATAAATAAAGAAAATAAAACTGGAAAAGGTGATTATAGCTGACTCTGGGGAGTAGGATTGTGGAATTGAGAGAAGTAGGACAAGAAACTCCTGTTTTCCTATGTAACCCTGTGGTATTATTTGATATGTGTATATACACTTTGGCTAAAAATGATTCTTACAAAGACAAGTGTTACTAAGAAAATCCCTAGCTTTTATATCTGACTAGTAAATATCTAATTTTCTTGTTAAGTTCCAGGTGGAACATGATAACTTGGGTTTGTAGTTTGGCGCAGTTTAGATCTGTTTAGAGACTTTGGGAGTGGATAATCATAGGTCCTTAGGCAGACACAAGTTTCTGGGTCCACACAACAGTCAGCTCCTTACTCTAGTCGGATTTTGTACTGAGGGAGGCCCTTTCGTTTAAGCTGTAGATGCTAAGGCATTCATTCTGCTGACTTAGATGCCCTGTCAAACTGTGACCAAACTAAAGCATAGAATCACTGACCATGGAAAAAACAAAGGAAATGGGAAAATACTGCATAATTTGTGGTCTCTGAAGTGATCCAGCATTAATGAAAGTTTGTTTTAAGAAGTAATTTATGTCAGCTTTGTGTAGTTCAGGTCAATTCAAGAAAAGGTAGATTCCTTCTGCCAGGAAGAAGGGAAGAAATGTATAAATTGTAAGTTTATACTACCATTGGAAATAGGAACACAGAAATCCATTATTTAAAGTCATGATCACTACCAAATTTTTCCTGGCTGGCTAGAAGTTATGGCCGTGAGTCAGGATACTCTTTTAGAAGACTTGGATTCCATTACCTTCAGCCTGTAGACAGTGGGGGCTTAGTAAGGGAGACTCATAATGTCAGCTTTTGAAACTGTCATTTTTGTTTTTTAAAAGTGGCAACTGACCACCAGTCTCCATGTATAGCTCCTTTTAGACTAAAGGAACACAACGCTAGGACAGAGCCATCACTCCCAGGACTGGGACCAGCCCAGACTTCAGTGAAGTTCATTGTAATCTGATGGCTTCTAGAAATCTCTAGTTTTTTAAGACTAAAATGCTTAATCTTTGTAGAAATTGGTGTCTCCAAACCAAATTTTAAAAATAAATGCAGATTGTAAATTTCCTGTAAATCTAAAACTGTTCTAAAAAATAATGTTTATTAAAATAAATAAACCCAAAAAAGAAAGAACTGTGATTCTTCATGGGGAAAATGTGTTATCTACGGATTATTATAGGAGTTGGAAGTAAATCTTACATATTTTTTTAACTTGATATTCTTAGAAAAGCAAATTAATCAAAGTTGCTTAAAAATACTATTTCACTTTCTTACCTCAGTTTACAGTGCTATAAAAAGAAAAGTTAGTATTCTCAATTTGTGTTTTGAGGTGTCTCTACTGGTAGTTTAAGTCCCTGGGGTGAAAAATAATTTATTCACAGCAAGAACAGCATATTATTTTCACTGCTGTGTTATACTTCAAGGCTCACCTGGCTAACTGTGAAAAGATATTTCATAGGTAGTCTATCCTCAGACTTTTAGAATAAAATGCCAAAAACTAATGGCAATGAAACATCAGGACACTGATAAGGGCAATAAAATTATTTCTTGACCATTAAAGGATTTAATTCTATGAAAGTACAGTCTTTCTATCTCTCTCATTTTATAGGTTTATTTTATGTGACTATCATTCAGATATTTTTTACTGATCAGTCAAATGCCAGATATTTTTAAATAATTGAATTCTGATTATTGCAAGTTGATAAGGTACTCTCAAGAGGCACTCCAGAAATCAATAGAAAACCCCCAATTGGCTGTCATTTTTAAATCCCTCAACTATATTCACTTGTTCAACCAGTATTTACTAGGAGGCTGTGTACCATGTCCAGTGTTCAGTTCTGGAGGAAACAGTAGTGAACAGGACAGGCAAGGTCACCTCATCTCATGGAGAAACAGGTAGCGAGCAGGTAAACAAATAATTTAAAATGGTGATTGGTGCTGTCAAGGTAAAATGATAGAAGGTACCTGAAACAGGAGCACTCCTTTTTTTTTTTTTTTTTTTGGAGATGGAGTCTCACTCTGTCACCCAGCCTGGAGTGCAATGGCACAGTCTTGGCTCACTGCAACCTCCGCCTCCCAGGTTCAAGCAATTCTCCTGCCTCAGCCTCCTGAGTAGCTGGGATTACAGGTGCATGCCACCGCGCCCAGCTAATTTTTGTATTTTTAGTAGAGATGAGGTTTCAACATCTTGGCCAGGCTGGTCTCGAACTCCTGACCTTGTGATCCATCCACCTCAGCCTCCCAAAGTGCTGGGATTACAGGCATGAGCCACCGTGCCCGGCAGGAGCACTCCTTTAGGTTGATGATCAGGATCTGCCTTCCTGAGGAGGTGATAGCTAAAATCTGAATGGCAAGAAGCAACAGCTAAGTTGAAATTGGATGGGAAGAGTCTTCGTGATAGTCGGGGCAAAAAATACAAAAGCTCCAGAGAAGAAAGGGACATGGTCTCCTAGAGATATGGGCCACTGAGTGAGTGAGAGGGTGCAGCCACAGTCAGATGTGTAGATTTTATTCTGAGTTCACTGGGTGACCATTAAGGGCAAGATGAGGGAGTCATGCAGGAGAGTAACAATTTGATTTACTTTTCAGAAAGGTAACTCTGGTTGTGGTGTGAAGAAAGGATTGTAAGGGAGGAAGACAAAAACAGAAAGGGGAAAAATGGTGACTTGGGCTGAGATGATAATATTGGGGATGGTGTGAATCAGGACCCAGATGAAATTGGGAGGGAATATCGTCAGAGTTCAGTCTGAAATTGAATGGGTGGCTCAGACAGGACAAAGGAAGAGAGCAACCAAGGTTTGAGAAACTGGGCAGACGGGTATATCATTTTTCAAGTTGGAGAAGAGTAAGGAATGAGCAGGCATCAGAGTGGAGATCAGAAGATTTCACAGACAGTTGGATATAGGCATCTATAGCTCAGACGAGGGGTAGGAGGTAGGAAAAGAATGGTAAACTCCAACTCCCGGTCTACTCTCAGTAGACTAGAAGTTGTAACAAAGAGGATTCCATAAAAAGAAGCCTTTAAGATTTCTGCCTCAAAATTCTGTGCGAGTGTGCTGTGAGTGTGTGTGTGTGTACGCACGTGTGTGATTTATAGCATTGTATCTTAATGAAGCATACAGATTTTACTCTCAGGTATTCTTCAAATAAAAGAGAAATTTAAATCTTGTGTTTTTGAAAATGCCATAAATAGAGTATATTTATTCTTAGGTTGAAGGTCTGTTAGTCCATGTAAAGTTTAATTATAGAAAATTAGATCAAATACCATGATACATTAACTACATTCAAATACATTCACCTAGGTTTATTTTTCTCTTTCTTCTTACCTTGCCAGCATTTACCAAAAGAACTGTTGCTCCAGATTCAGCTTCAATCAAGGAAGATGCCACAATGAATGAAACAAGTTCACAACCCAAAAAAGAGGAATATGAGAACTAAAAAAGCAAATGTAATTTGTTATTTTACAAGAGTGTTTTACAGATAATAACGTCTCTATTCTTATAAATTTGGCCCAGATTATCTAACAGACATACCTGCCACTTTGGCTCTCTAGTATTGCCAAACATTGACAAAAGTGACAATACTGTTGGTCCTTGTGAATAAGTTAAACCAATCCAAATAATATCAGCTCATGAGTGATGCACAGCTAATTTATTTGCAACTTATACTAGCACAGAAAGAATGATATTGTTTTCACTTTGTATTTTCCCTTTGCAAGTGTGGTCAGTCACATTTGCCCAACCAAAATTTGGATTTCTAATTGAGGCCTTTCAAAAATTACTGGCTAAAAAGAAGGAAAATGAGTTTCCCTTGAGGCAAAAGTTGCCAGCACTTTATATTCAGGGAGCATTTATATGCAGTTGATTTTTTGAAAAAATGCTTTCTCCCTAATAAATTATCATGTGTTATAACATGTCATGGAGATGTGCGTACATAACATTAGACAGCCCACTTTATAAATGCTCAGGATTTTTATATCCGTCATCTCAGCAGTCTGCGACTACATACAGTAACTGAAAATTATTTCCAATCATCCATTTTTAATAGCAATAAAGAATTCATAAATGATATTTGAACTGTAGAGCACTGTAAAAAATTCATAGCACAATTTATTTATTTGTCTTTTTGTGGCCAAATATCCTACTGTGATCACTTCAGTCATACCCTGAACCAGCTTTGGTTTACTGTTACTAAAATCATAGCACCAAACTCCTTTGTCCATGAGATTTATATATAATCTTGTATAATTTGGTACTGTCTGCTTCTACCATCCCAACTTTTTTCATCAAAGTGTTTACATACTGATCTCCTAGTAGAGAAAGATTTGTATTAAATGCTAAGTAATAGTAAACTTTCAGGAACTGAATCCTGCTGACTCATGGATTCTGCACAGACAAGGACAGTAAACCAGTACCTTTGTAATATGCATTCCATTTTGTGTTTGTTAAAGTACACTTGTTCGTTAGAGTTCTCACATTTCATAAAGATGCTTCTGCTCAAGATATGTTTTCCTAACTTACCATATTTGATGGTACTAAAGAAGAAAAAAAATGGCAGTCTTTTCCACAAACTCAAATGCAGCTCTTCCTGTAGGACATGGAGATATCTCCTATCCAAAAATTGCATAACACGAGCTATGTAACCTCTGAGAGATGCATTTTTATCATTTATGCATTTCAAAAATCTTGTATTGAGTTCCTACTATATGCCAGTCATTGTGCCAAGAGGAAAATAATGAAATTCTAAAACAGTTGTTCATGTCGCAAAATTTGTTTAGCATTAGGAATTATATGAAAATCGGAGTGATTTTATTAGTCTAGCTGGAGAAATTTGGGATTAGACAACATTAAACAGATTTGGTTTTATTTTATCTAACTTTAGGAATTCTTAGAGCAATGCAATATACTAAGGAGCATTATGAGGTCTTATTGGGAGTATCCTGTGTGGTGTGACTCACAGTCCTGGTGATCCATATAATCCGTATTACTCTGAGGTAATATTTAGGGTATTGAGAATTTATTACCTTTGATGGTTTGACCAACATCAAACTATTTTATCTCCCTGGACCTAAATAAGCACCAGGGAAGAAAATACAAGGGAAAAACAACAGATTTCATTTAAATCCTGAGGACAAATATGAGTTAAAAAACTTTTATGTATTAGTAGGGCCTTCATGCAGTCTGTTCCCTTCTATAAGAACTGATCTAAACCATTGCACCTGTGGTCATTAAAAAAAAAATTGCACCAAACCAATTAGACCTGAAAATGTAAATTAACTCAAATTATTTACATGGGAAATCCTTGAAAACATATTGGCCGGTGATTTTATAACAGAATGGAGAGGAATCTTATGAAGGAACTTTCGAAATCTAAAAAAAGCCATTATATCATGTTATTGAAGGCCCTGTGCTACTGTTGGATGAATGAAGGTGTCTGACTTCTATAGAACACACAAGAACACACAAGAACTTCAAAGGCAAAGTCAACTTTTTGTGAACAACAATTTTGTCAAAATTCTTTGGCCTTCTGTTTATGTAGAAATAATTCCAGGGACCTGTCTCCTCTGAGGATTTTTCCTATCTCTTGCAATTACCATTCCCTTGAGTTGGAAATCAAAAAGAATGCTAAGGAAACATTAGTCACTGATTTGTGCATTTTAAAGCCAACAACTTCTTTCCTTTATGCACCCCTTTGGTAGGATAGCCTCAATTACATGTGATATTAGCCCTGTTTGAATAGTTGCTGGTCCACCATATTGCTTGTAGTACTGGGACATTGGGAAGGATAAACCTTATTCTGCAGTACGCTTGATCCAAGACTTAATTTGAAGGCTGACCTTTTTGGTTTAATAATTTTGATTCTTCTGGCCATCTTTCTCCCTAAACACACTGAACTTCCATTGAAGTTGCTGAAGGCTACAGGGAGAGAAACACAGCTGGGAGAATTCTGGCTTGATGTTTTTCCCATTGGCTAAGGTCATATTATTTCTTTGACTAGTGTCTGACTGAAAGGTTGAAAACCAATTGGTTATATAACGTTTTATGCACCCAGTTTCCCAGAACCACTAACTTTTCTCATTGTTATAGTTTAGTTACCTATTTTTACTAATAAAGAGCTATAATCTATAGCTTAATAAAATCTTATGCATACAGCATTTAAAGTTTACATGTATAAAAAAATGCCTACCTACTTAACAAAGAAAATGAACCTATTTTTCTCCTTTCAAGTATGGTAAATGCATTTTTTTCATTTTGAATCTCAGTTCAGTGGTATGCAAAGTACATTTAGAGCCACAGGATTTGTTACATTTTCTCTAATCTGTATTGAATTTTATAGTTAGATAACACATCATGTTAAAAACAGGACCAAACTCTTACATATAATGTGATGGCACATTTACATAGCACACTCTTTTTTTAGGAAGGGATAAATACCTCAATTGTTTTACACAGGAGTTGTGCTTACTGTAAAATGCAACGATACATCCTATGGTAGCCAAGAATGTGAATGATCTTTGAGTAATTTTCCAAGAGTCTTACACCCCCAAACAAACTGTTCCAGTATTTTCTCTCAATTTAAAACAAAACAAAACAGAAAATTTGTGATTTTCATGGCCTTCAAATAAGGAAGCTGTTCTCACGAAAGCATCTGGTTTTCTTGGATCAAAACTAAATTATGAACCTTAGCTGGAAAGGAAATTTGGGAAAGTTTGTATATAAAGGCATTTCATGCACCAAAGTATGATGTGAAAATAGTTCCATCTTTCAGCTTTTAAGTTCTTGAATGTTTAGCAATAGAAACATATCAACTTATCCCTATTTGAGAAAAGAAATTTAAACCACGAAAGATTCCATTGAGTTTCATTTCCTTGCAAAACACGACACATCTAATTTAAGGCTGGAAGACATGCTCACATGGAAAAGCAGAACTTTAGATTCCAAGCCTCCAAACAAATTTCAGAAAAGTCACCTTAACTTTTGATTAGTAACAAAGTAAACCAATCTGCTCTTCTTTGGCAAAACCAGCTTCACCTTCTAGTTCTAACCTCAGCTGCTCCTATTTTAGCTTCTCCTGCTGTATCTGTGCTTATGGCCATATCCTACCTAAATCCAAGCCCAGCACAAGTTACCCTTCATGTTCTACCAGGCTAGCCCCTACTGTTGAACTCTGAAGTCTTATAACTGTATGACCCACACTGAGAGGGCTGACTCTGGGATTTGTAGTCCCTGCATTGATTTTCAGGAGCAGCCAATTAGGAAAGGATTTATATTGCATATGTCTTTGGCCGTTCTTATGGCTGAAACCCTAGGAATACTTCTGTGGTTGAGCAGCTTTTCTTCACTAACATAGCTGGACTCTGACGTGAGTGCAAAGCCCTGCGATAATTGTGGATGTGAACTTGACCTCCTTGCTCTCTACAGGGATATACTGGATTTATATAGCTACTAAACTTAGCTACATGTTAGCTCCCTTTGATGTTTGGAGTAATATAGCATCTGATGGCTTCCAGCTTTCGTAATGTAGAAGCTAATGTCTTTGAGCACATAAATGGGAATGTTGGGGGCAGGGAAATGCTGCTAGAGTCAAAACAGAGCCTTGCAATATTTATCACATGTACTTATAAGGATAACTTGCTATGTTTCAGGAAATGAAGTTACATAGTTGCCATTCTCTGGAGGAATGCTCTCTCTTTCTCAAATGGTCATTTGCTAGACCATCCTGCAGAGTCTATCTTCTGTCGCCCCATCATCCCCACAACTTGTCACCCTCTCATTTTTTATTCTTTCAGTGAGGCCATTTGACTGGCATTATTTAAATAAAAATAAAAGTTAACAATTTATCCTTAGATATTAGAGCTCTGTGTCATCTTAGCTGTATACTTCATTGGAAATAAAAATCAGAATACTGGCTTGAAGCAATATTTTTTTTAAAGGGAACTAGTGAATGCTAAACTACCAACAGTTCAGATGTTACAGTTTAACAGTGAAAAAATATTCTGAGGGGAAGGTAGGATAATATATGTTCCTTAGTCACTAGCTCACAATCTTTTTACATAGTGACCTAATATTTCCTTAAAATCATACTTGCTTTTAAAAATGCCAAGTTTAATTTTTATAGTGTTAAGTTTTCCATTAAATTATAGTTTCCTTTTGTTTTTTATTACAAATTTTTAAATTAAAAGTGTACCTGTGAGTCATTTGAAGCCACCATGCATTCAAATGCCTTCAAAAGTACAAGACATTTCGTCAACAATGTGAAAATTTGGCCTTTCAAATGGTGCATCTCTTCGTCCTTGGGATACTATATTTCTATTGGAAATACTTCATCTCTCCCAGTGTCTCCCTTTGATATCCTTCTCTAGTCCTCTCCTCACAGATCTTTAGAAGTGGCTTTATGTCCTTTATTAGGGCCAGGCTGTGGGCTAGAGTCAGGCTCACTTGTCCTGTGCATGTATTTTAAGACAGCGGGAAAATCACAACCAGAAGGAGTTAGTGAGATTAATACAGGAAATGCTTTTGTTATTTTTCTTAAGCTGTGAGCTGGTCTATTAACCAGGTGTGGAAGGCTTCTCTTGGTAAAATAAGATCCTTATTCTTCGTCCTTGTATGATAATACACAGCTATTTTTCATACAATATTTACATGTACTTCGTGTATCAGAGAACCTATTCATATCACCTTATAGCCAAAAGAACAATTCTCAAAATGTGTGTCCAGTTGCACATTTGATTTAAAGTTTCAATTTCAAATATAGCCCCTTTACAAGCTTTTCCCCCCTTTTCTTCTTAGCTCTTGAGGCCAGCTATTATCAGATCATACTGCATAACTCTTATTGAGTGTTATCCCCAGGGTAGTGGTAATGCTAGTTTAGATTTTGTTTGTCCATTGTTGCTCAGCACTTAGCTGGATAAGGGAATGAAGGATGGCAGGAGTTCTGTAAAATGATATGAACGCAGAGGAAGCTGGGTGGCCTTTAATAACACACATTTTAAACTGTTTACTGGAAGGAAAAAACTGTGGTAGCACTTCATCCTTTATGTGATACAGGGTCCTGGAAAGAAGCATTGTGAGAAGTCCTGTTGAACTTGATGTGCACTATAAGGTCACATTTCTGATGAAAGTTGCACTAATCCTTCATGTTCTTTATGGACTGCTGGCCGGCAGTTTGGATCTGGGTGCAAAGTGGTCGGCTTTCTGACGCTTTTCAGTCTGGGTGCCCTGTGCTTGTCCTTTTGGATTTTCATTTTATTTATGCTGTCATTAATTGCACTGTGATTGAAGATACAGGTTTGATTTATGACTTAGCATATTTGAAATTTCCCATCATAATGAACCCCAACCCCAGGCTCTTAGTTACCAGAAGTAAAACAGTGATGGGTAGCAAAGCCATCTAACATGGTGGCTTTGGGAAGGTGGGCACTAAAAGAGGTTTGGAGAAACCTAAGGATTTTTTTCTTTCTTTCTTTCTTCTTCCCCCCTGGCCTAAGTAAAACAGATGCAACAGTTCTAACGAGGCACTTCCTGCCCAGAGTCACTGGCAGAGCAGCCTCCACCCAACAGCTGCAGCTTGAGACCTCATGCTGCTGGCCAAGGTTCATTCTGTGCTTTGACCAAGACCACAGCCAATAAAGTCAATGTGTACCGTGGAAAGAGTTTCCCATTTTTTTCCATTGGAGAAGTCTTTTGTGAGGTTAGTTTGACTGTTCCAAATTAACAGTGGTGGTCATTGCTCATTTCTCATTTCTTAATTTTAACTGCGTGTAAACTCACAGATTAGATTCCACTGGGGGCAAATTTAGTTTTGTGAGGAAGATACATACCCTTTTGTTCAATGATTCCTGAAAGTGTTGGTTCACAAAGTGTGGCCTCTAAACCGGCAGCGGTATCACCTGGGTGCTTGTTAGAATTACATACTCTCTAGCTAGCCCCAGACCTATTGATTCAGAAACTTTGGGGATGGCACCAATGATCTGTGTAGTAACAAGTCCTCCAGGTGATTCTGATAAATGCTCAAGTTCAGGGACCCTGCCTTGACATTCATTTTATTATAGCCTTCTCTGAGTTTTAGTGCCTATCCCAAAACAAAAACAAGTTGAAGGAAGGAAAATAGAAAGTGGCTATTTTCCAGGTGAAGTACAAGAGTCTTTTTAAAATTTTGGTTTCCAATATCATGTGTTCTCCCAGGTGTTCGAGCTGTGACTCAGTCTTGAGGCTCGTCCAAGTGAAGGTCTTAAAGCCTTTTCCAAAGATGCTTGATTAACTAGTAGAAGCTACTCCCCACTTCCTTTTCATAACAGACTCTAGCAGGACTCTGCCCGTTCATCAGGATCATCATCAAGATATCCAATGAAATCAGGGCCTATACTATGGTTCCTCTGTTCGGTTTGAAGAACAGAAGTAGTATTTGATTATAAACTTTGCAGAGTCAAGTTGCAATTCTGTTTTCTCTCACTCCCAGGAACTTCACAGCAACCTGATTTGGGGCATTGGTTCTGCCTTATCATTTCACATGCAATT